AAAAAAGGCAGAAAACCAAACCAAAACAAAACAAAACCCAGGCCTCCTGGTGCTATCCCAAGCTGGGTTCTTCCACTGACTGTACAGAATGAGGAGGTAAACTCCCATGTGCACCTCAGCCTAGGCCCTGTGCCTTATCTGTATTGTGCATGGGAACACACAGAAAAAAAATTCATGGGATACAGAGTGATATTTCAATACACACATACAATGTGTAATGATCAAATCAAGGTAATTAGCATATTTATGTCTCAAACATTTATCATTGTTTTGTGAACATTCACAATCCTTTTAGTTTTTTGAAAATATACAAAAATTATTAATCTCTCTACCCTATAGTGCTATAGAACACTAGAACTTATTCTGCCTATCTAGCTGTAATTTTGAATCTGTTAACCAACCTCTCGTCCTCTCTGTACCCTTCCCAGCCTCTAATAACCACAATTCTGAGTATACTAATTTTATTTCACCTTTTTTGAATTAATTTTCATGTCAAACTGTACAGCACTCCAATTAATGAACTCCCTCCTCATATCTGGACAGTTTCAGCTATCATAAATAATGTTAAAGTAAACATTCTCCAATACAGATTTCTTTTCTTTTTGTTTTTTTTGAAACGGTCTCACTTTGTCACCCAGGCTGGAGTGCAGTGGTGAGATCTTGGCTCACTGCAACCTTGACCTCCCAGGCTCAAGCAATCCTCACACCTCAGCCTCTCAAAGTAGTTAGGACTACAGGCACATGCCACCACTCCTGGCTTATATATATATACACACATATATATAGCTGAGGTCTTACTATGTTGCCCAGGCTGGACTTGAACTCCTGGGCTCAAGTGATCCTCCTGCCTTGGCCTCCCAAAGCGTTGGGATAACAGGCGTGAGCCACCATGCCCAGCCTCTTACAATTATTTCCTCAGGATGGAGTACCTGATAGAGGTCAAAGAATATCAATACTTTAATGGCTTAGGATGAGGTCCTACCAATTCCTCTGAAGAGTCCCACTTCACACTAGCAACGTGTGAATGGATATACTTACCTTAAAGAGACTATAGACCATTTCTTTAAATTTCTGTACAGTAGTTCCTCTAGTTGGCTTATCAAATAGCACTATTTCTTTTCTTGGTTCCAATTCAGTTCCAAAATCAAGATGAAGCGCTTGTTCCATTTGACATTTCACAACACCTGGTAGATTATCCCAAATCCCTAAATACATCTATGTAAAAAAGAGTGGCAAGTTACGTATTATACTGAGTAGAAAACTCTAAGAAATATACCACTATATTTTTAGGGTCCTCCTCCTCTAAACAAAACAAAACAAGCATCAAACATTGAGGTTGAAGTGTGACTTTATTTTTGAACTGCAAACTTGAAATCATACTCAAGATTTTTTCCTTAAACTAATTTTTTTAAATTATAAGAGTAATACGTGCCTAAATATATTTTTCAAAAAGTCCAATGAGAAGGATGTAAGGCAAAAGCAAAGTTCCCAAACATTCTACTTCCATAATCTCACTTCCCCAAAATTAACTACTATTTAAGTATCTAGTTATTTATCAAACTAATATTATATAGTGTTAACTATATCCTATGGTCTACTAATTTATTTTAGAGACAGGGTCTCACTTTGTCATCCAGGCTGGAGTTCAGTGGCATAATCATAGCTCATTGCAGCTCAAACTCCTGAGCTCAAGGAATCTTCCTGCCTCAGCCTCCCAAGTTGCCGGGATTATAGGCATGAGCCACCACACCCGGCTTTTACTGATGTGCTATTATTTTAATCCTCGTACCAACCTTAGGTGGTAGGTACTATCATTATACTTATTTCACTGATGGGGAAACTGAAGCAGAGACAGGTGAAGTAACATGCTGAAAAGAGCTGAGGTCTTTACCACTAGGATAGGTTGCCCCTCTTCTACATAAAAAAAAAAAAAAAAAATCATATTATTAATATTAATCCAAACAAAACATTATTTCACTGCCTTGCTCCAAACCCTCTAATAAATTCCCATTTCAATTAAAGTCCAAAGTCCTTTGCATGACCGGTTGGGCTCTATTTGAGCTGGCCTCGCCTATGTCTCCAACCTGATCTTGTACCATGTACTCCAAGTTTCTCAAAGTCCCAGCTACACTGGTCTTTCTGTGATAGGCTAAAGCTATCATGCTTGTTTTGGCTTCCTGACCTGCTTCACTTGCTGGCTCTGCCTGGAATGTACTCTCCCAGATCTTCACGTGGCTGGCTCCTTTACATCATTCAAGTCTCAGATCACACATTGCATTTAGAAAGCCTTCCCTGACCCCCTGTCTAGAATAGATCCTCTTCCACCTCCGGGTCACCTCTAATCCTGTTTCATTATCCTCATAGCCTTTTGTACTGTCTAAAATTATCATATTTATTTATTTATCGGTTTATTACTATCTGTCTCATCTCACATTAGAACACGAGGTTAGAGGCTTTATCTGTCTCCCTCAGTGCCTCAAACAGTGCCTGGCATGCAGGAGACACTCAAATGTTGGACTTTGTTTTAGAAATTGTCTTTAACATGATTAATATTGTCAACTTAAAAATTATTTTAAATTTCTATAGGAATAATGCATATTTATGCAGGAAAATTTAGTAATCATAAGTTGAACATTAAAATGCAATTTTCCAGTGCTCTGGATGTTTCGTTGTATTTTATTCTACCCCAATTAGATATTCTATTGTTTTATTCTTATTTCTCTGATGAAAAGTAAGGTAGAATTTTTTTCATTATGTTCATCAGCTGTTTGCAGTTCTTTTGTGATTTAGTTCATCCTGTCCTTTGCCCATGCCTATGAATTCTTTATTAAGGTATAAGTTCAGATATTATTTCAGAAAGGTCTTCTCTGATCACATCCTCTAAAGCACTTCTCACCATCCCCGACACTACATTCTCTATTTGCCTTCTGTATCTCCCACAGAACACACCATATTCTATAATTATTTTGTTTATTTATTTATTTATTTATTTATCAGCTGTGCCTCCTGTCCCTCTGGGATCATGTAAGGTCTATAAGGGAGCAATCTTGTCTTTTTTTTGAGATAGGGTCTTACTCTGTCACCCAGGATGGAGTGCAGTGACATGAACGTGGCTCACTGCAGCCTTGACCTCCTGGGCTCAAGTGATCACCCCACCTCAGCCTCCCGAGTAGCTGGGATCATAGGTGTGTGCCACCACACCCAGCTAATACATATATTTTTTGAGACAAGAGTCTCGCTCTGTTGTCCAGGCTGGAGTGCAGTGGTGTGAGATTTTGGCTCACTGGAACCTCCACCTTCCAGGTTCAAGCGATTCTTGTGCCTCAGCCTCTGGAGTAGTTGGGATTACAGGCATGCGCCACCACACCCAGCTAATTTTTTGTGTTTTTAGTAGAGATGGGATTTTGCTACGTTGCTCAGGTTGGTCTCGAACTCCTGGCCTCAAGTGACCTACCACCTCAGCCTCCCAAAGTGCTGGGATTACAGGTGTGTGCCACCGTGCCTGGCCACCCAGCTAATTTTTGTATTTTTTGTAGAGACAGGGTTTTGCTATGTTGCTCAGGTAGGCCTCAAACTCCTGGACTAAAGCAATCCACCCACCTTGGCCTCCCGAAGTGCTGGGATTACAGGCATGTGCCACTGGGCCCAGCTATCTGTATTTTTTTTTATTTTTTGAGACAGGGTCTCACACTGTCACCCAGGCTAGAGCACAGTGGTGGGACCATAGCTCACTGCAGCCTCAACCTCCTGGGCTCAAGCAATCTTCCCACCTCAGCCTCTTGAGTAGCTAGAACCACGGGTGTGTGCCACCACACCTGGCTTTTTAAAAAAATTTTTTGATTTTGGAGAGACAGGGTCTCACTACATTGCCCAGGTTGGTCTCAAACTCCTGGGTTCAAGTGGTCCTCCCATCTCAGCCTCCCAAAGTGTTGGGATTACATGTGTGAGCCACTGCACCAGGTTGCCTTAATCACCATTGTATTCCTGGTAACTAAAACAGCATCTGTCTAAGATCAAAGTGCTGACAGAAAAACAAAAACAAAACAAAACAGTGTCTGGAATATACTGGGAATAGATTAACATATATCTGTTGACTGGCCAGGTGCAGTGGCTCACACCTATAATCCCAGCACTTTGGGAAGCCAAGGTGGGTGGATTGCTTGAGCTCAGGAGTTTGAGACCAGCCTGGGCAACATGGCAGGACTCTTTCTACAAAAATACAAAAAATTAGCCAAGTGTGGTTGCGTGAGCCTGTAGTCCCAGCTACATGGGAGGCTGAGGTGGGAGGCTCACTTGAGCCTGGGAAGTGGAGTTTGCAGTAAGCAGAGATCTCACCACTGTATTCCAGCCTGGACAACAGATTCTGTCTCAAAAAATTAAAATAAAATAAATGTCTGTTGAATCAATTAATCAAAGCATACAAAATTGAAATACATATAATATCTCAAAGCTTTGGTTCAAGAATTCTTTTAATAATGCCTTTAATTTCTGGTAAATATTAGAGTACACTATAATTCTGGAATGTTTACTCATAATGTCCCTACCTGATTGTTGGGCTTGGTGGATAAGCATTTTCCAAAGTAAAGAGTTTCTGTAACACAAAGGCTGTTACATGCAGGCCCATCAATAACTCCAGTCTTGTACTTGTCACACTAAAAACCAGGAAAGAAAAAGTAGTTAATAGAAAAATATTCATAAGAAAAAGCATAAAGAGCTATCTTTATCCTTTATGAGAAAGTTCTATGACAAAAAGAACTGAGGCTTTGGACTTCGACAGACCTGGATTTGATCTAAGCTGTTACTTACACCTATATGATTATGAGAAAGCTTTTTGCTGTTGGGGTGTGTGTAGAACTTTGAAACTATTTTACCCACTTGACGTGGTCTAAGGCGGTATGTTACCTACTCCTTCCAAGAATAGAGGCACTCTATTTTTAAAAATGGTTCCAGTTTTAGGCCAGGCGCGGTGGCTCACGCTTGTAATCCCAGCACTTTGGGAGGCCGAGGCTGGTGGATCATTTGAGGTCAGGAGTTCAAGACCAGCCTGGCTAACATGGTGAAACCCTGTCTCTACTAAAATACAAAAATTAGCCAGGCGGTAATGGCGGGCACCTGTAATCCCAGCTACTTGGGAGGCTGAAGCAGAAGAATCACTTGAGCCTGGGAGGCAGAGGTTGTGGTGAGCCGAGATCATGCCACTGCACTCCAGTCTGGGTGAGAGAGTGAGACCCTGTCTCCAAAAAAAAAAACAAAAACAAAAGTTCTGGTTTTAAAATAAATAAAGTTTAGAATAACAAAATAAAGTTACCCCTGTCATGTTGTCATCCTTGAGATCACCCAAAAACAAGAAAGGGAAAAAAAAAAACCATCCACTCTGAAAAAATAAGGTACCAATGAAACCCTAGGTACAATAACAGGTAATTGAATTAATAAAAACTGATTTTTTTTTTTTTTTTTTTTTTAGACAGAGTCTGTTGCCCAGACTGGAGTGCAATGGTGCGATCATGGCACTCGCAGACAAAGTTGGCAGAGCACCAAGGAGGTGGTCCATCTGCAGAGCAGAACCACTACCCTGGTTGCAACAAAGGTTTAAGGGGCACAAGCTGTGGGAACTTCCCAGAACTCTATTTGGCACCATGAAATAGTAAGATAAGGCAGGCCTGAATGATAAAATCCTCAGAAATGTTCTCTTTGCTGGAGGCAGTCTGTTGATGAACTATGGCTGGGAGACAGGGCCACAAGCAGCTTCACTACCAGCTCAGTTTACTGCCCAGTTGCTTCCTGCACATGGCTGGCTCATTTCACTCAGTAATGAGTAATAATCAAAACCAAACAAGCAAAAGATCTACATAGCAAATCTACAAGAATTAGGAAGAATGGAATAGGAAAAACAAATGTCAGATAAAAAAATTTTCTAGGCAGGGCACAGTGGCTTACAACGCCTGTAATCTCAGCACTTTGGGAGGCCGAGGTGGGTGGATCACCTGAGGTTGGGAGTTCAAGACGAGCTTGACCAACATGGAGAAACCCTGCCTCTACTAAAAATACAAAATCAGCTGGGCATGGTGGCGCATGCCTGTAATCCCAGGTATTCAGGAGGCTGAGGTGGGAGAGTCGCTTGAACCTGGGAGGCAGAGGTTGCAGTGAGCCGAGATCACATCACTGCACTCCAGCCTGGGCAAGAAAAGTGTATCTCCATCTCAAAAAAAAAAAAAAAAAAAATTCTAGAAGAATGTTGCTATGAAACAGACCAAACATATTGTTATGAATTTAAAGGACTTACTGAACCAGTTTAAAATAAGACTTCAAAGCAGAAGAAATGATGAGGCAATAGGAGGAAGTTTAAAATAAGCTAACAGAACTCAGACAGGAAGGAAAAGAAAACATCCTAGAAATAAGAGCCGCGTTAAAAATGAGGGGAAAGACAGACAGGGATAAAACACAGTAAGATTTAGGAGGACTAGGCCAGGCATTGTTGCTCATCCCTGTAATAACAGCACTTTGGAGGCTGGGACAGGCAGATTGCTTGAGCTCAGGAGTTTGAGAGCAGCCTGGGCAACATAGCAAGACCCCATCTCTACAAATAATACAAAAGAATTAGCTGGGTGTGGGGGCACACACATGTAGTACTAGCTACTTGGGAGGCTGAAGTAGGAGGATTACTTGAGCCTGGGAGGCAGAGGTTGCAGAGAGCCAAGATTGCACCATTGCACTCCACCCTGGGTGACAGAGGGGGATCCTGTCTTAAAAAAAACAAAAACAACAACAAAAAACTCTAGAGGACAAGGTTGAGGAATGCAAGCAAAATGAAATGGAAATTTAAAAATAAATAAAATGAATTTACGATGAATTTATAGATATAAAAGACAAAGTATATCCACCATATCCATATGAAGGAGAATGGGAACAAGTGGAAAAGAAAAAATACTCAAAGTAGAATTCAAGGAAACTTCACAGAAATTAAAACACTTTAATCTACAGATTGAAAGGACATACAATGAATGTCCCAAGAAAAACTGACATGAATGACCCCTGTGACATATCCCACTGAGGTTCACTGAACTTCAAAAATAAGTTATCCTTTGAGCATCCAGGTAAAAAGATCAAGGCACCTTAAAGGGGAAACAAATCAGATTGGCCCCAGATTTCTCCATAGCCATATTTAACAGTAGACAACAGTAGTGCAATGGCAGCGGAGGCTTTGGGAAAGGAAGTGAGACTCGCCTGTGTCCTAATAGTCTCATCTGTGAAGGGGATGTTAATAGGTCTTAATTTACAGCATCATTATGAGGATTAAACAGTCTAAGTATAGATCACCTGTGACTTTCATAAGTGCTCAGTCATAGCCTATTATTATTTTATATAGCTGAACTTTCTTTTAGTAGGCACCAAATATTTTTGAACACGTAAGGTTCAGAAAACATAATTTCCATGAGCATCTCCTGAAGAAATGATTAGAGAAGGAATTTCAGCTAACAAAGAGATGAATGGAGAAACGGAACATGAAAGCCAGTTGAAATGGATTGGAATGAAAACAGCTCAGGTAATTGAATTAATAAAAACTGATTTTTTTTTGAGACAGAGTCTGTTGCCCAGACTGGAGTGCAATGGTGCGATCATGGCTTACCACAGCTTCGACCTCCCAGGCTCAAGTGATCCTCTTGCCTCAGTCTCCCGAGTAGCTGGGACTACAAGAATGTGCCACTATGCCTGGTTAATTTTTAAATTTTTTTGTAGAGATGGGGCTTCACTTTGTTGCCCAGGCTGGTTTCAAATTCCTGGGCTCATGTAAGCTTCCCACCTCAGCCTCCCAAACTGCTAGATTTACAGGCGTAAGCCACTGTGTCTGCCAATAAAAACTGTTTATATAATACCTGATAGTTAGTAGGTGTTTCTTAAGTGTCAGGCATTGTTCCTAGCACTATACATTTATTACCATGACAACCACCCTGGGAGGTGGAACCTATTATCCATTAAAAGATAATAAACAGAAACAGAAATATCTGTTAAGTAACTTGTTCACAACTACAAAATAATAAAGCCAGGATTCCAACCCAGTCAGTTTGGCTCCAGAGCCCACTCTCTTAATGACTACTGTATATTGCTCAGAATGGCACAGGCTCCTCAGGCCTGCCTCCTGTACCCTCCTACCAACACTCCTTACAGTTTGCTTTGAGGATAAGGGAGATAAAGAGCCCTGCCCATGTGCAGAGTTAAGTGTCAACACCAAGGCACTGTTGCCCTTCAGCTATTAGTAGTGGCGAAGTTCCTGGACAAGCCCTTGGCTATGACCTGGTTTCTCTTGCAGATCTGTCTGCAGCTAAGAATATTAAGTTTCATCTTTGGGAGAGGAGCAAAGCAATCTAGTTCTTTTTTTTTTTTTTTTTGAGATGGAGTCTCACTCTGTCACCCAGGCTGGAGTGCAGTGGCACGATCTCAGCTCACTGCAAGCTCCGCCTCCCGGGTTCACACCATTCCCCTGCCTCAACCTCCCAAGTAGCTGGGACTAGAGGCACCCGCCACCACGCCTAGCTAATTTTTTGTATTTTTAGTACAGACGGGGTTTCACCATGTTAGCCAGGATGTTCTCAATCTCCTGATCTCGTGATCCGCCTGCCTCGGCCTCCCAAAGTGAGCAATCTAGTTCTTAAACTCAAGTTTGGGAGGTCGCTTGGGAGAGGCCCAATGTCTTTCTTCCATCTGGTCAACCTTTGGGGATATTTTAGAAAATGCAGGACCATCTGTTAGGCATATGTGCTTGGTAGCAGATGGCCAGCAATTTCATTGGTATGTTTCTTCCTTGAGGCAAAGGTGATGGGAATTCTGAGGCCTCATTAGGAGAAGCTTGAGTGAAAGCTCCTGTAGGTATGGTTTAGGGTTTCCAAGGAAGTTATATCATATAGACCACATTCTCTGACCACAAATAAATAAAAAATAAGTGGAACAATAAAAGTCAAGTTGAAGTCCCATAGCTCAAACATGGCCCATTGCGAAAGAAAAGAGACAAAAAGAAATGACTGAAAAACTCTACAATTTTTTTTAAAAAGTAAAAAGTAAAACAAAAAACAAACAAACATACGTTTGGAAACTAAAAAGCACATTCCTAAATAATTTGTGGGTTAAAGTAGAAATTACCATGGAAATGCAGAAATATTTAGAAGTGAACAATAATATAGGTATACATATCAAAACTTGTGGGAGGCAGTCAAAGCAGTTCTTAGAGTGACAATTATAGCAATTTCCAAATTTAAATGCAATGATGAAAAAACCAAGATACTGAATACAAATAATCGCTCAACTAAAGAGACTTAAAAAAACAACCAACCAAAAAAACAAACAAAAAAACAAACCCAACAGACCGGCTCAGTGGCTTACAACTATAATCCCAGCACTATGGGAGATGAAGGCAGGAGGACTGCTTGAGGCCAGAAGTTCAAGACCAGCCTAGGGAACACAGTGAGACCTCATCTCTAAAAAATTTTTTTTTTTTAAATTAGCCAGGCATGGTGGTGTGTGCCTATAGTCCCAGCTACTCAGGAGGCTGAGGAAGCAGGATCCCTTGAACCCATGAGGTTGAGGCTGCCATGATCATGCCACTGTATTCCAGCCTGGGCAACAAAGTGAGACTCTGTCTCAAAGAAAAAAAAAAAAA